AAAAAAAAAGTCCATTCAAGAACAAAAATTCAGTATAGCTGAAAGTCTTGTATATGTGTGTGCTTTAAATGAAAGCTCCAGGATTTTGCCGGTGATCTTTCTGATTCCTGTATCTATGTGCTAACCAGACACCCAGAATCTGAAACAGGAAATATAACAAAATTTATATAAAAATGAATTTATTAACATCTCAACTTGACAGAAAACTAAGAAACAAGCACCAAACCTTAAATAAACTGACTGAACTGTTCACGGCTTGATTAAATATTTCCAGGTTTCATTTTACCCGTTTTCATAAACAAATGATGTCCAGTGTTTGCTCACCTCTGTAAAACTGAAAAACAGACTGACTCCTCCAACAAACTGTAAAGCGTCGTCAGCATAGGCCTGGATTATAACTGAACATGGTCGACATGTTTGATCCTTGAAACAGGTCTGATGTCAAAGAGAAGACAGAAATAAAGCAAAAAAATTATCTTTACAACCACAATAAAACTGTACGTTAGTTCATTGCATATAAACAAGATGATCGCATACTCAGGTGATCATCTCAAGACTATTTGCTCAAGAGGTTAAAGAGTCTGACAGTTATCATTGTAGAAGTATATTTCATTTTGTCCACAGTGAGTAACTTAATTATGAACTATAAATAAAATGGAAGCCTTATAATAAATTGACCTAACATCTTGATGTACAAAAATTAATTATTTTTTACCAAAGCTCACTATATAAACACATTCACCAACTATTTGTTCAAAGGGTCTTTCTAGAAGCATGTTTTTCACATTAAGTTCAAGTAGCAGAAGACACGGATCCTAATTCATTAATCTTGGATTGAAAAGCAGAATAATAGTTCTTACAGCGACACAGCTCTCATTGTAGTTAACTTCAAGGAAGTCACAGCAATCCAGCGATCTTTCCAAATCCTCCTGCATTGATTCAGACTTATTCCATCCTATCTCCAGGAGCAGGTTCTGAAGGAGAACAAAACATTTGGATTTCAAAACCCAGGAATGAGGAAACCAGTATCACCGTGTCAAAGTGTTACAAACTATAATTACCTGCTGTTCTTTATTAATCGCCAAGCAGGCACATGATACTGAAAACTGCACCATGAATACCACGAAGAGAATGAGCATGTACTAAAAACCAGTTAAGGTTGTTTCACCATCATTGCGGACAAATTCAAAAGCTGTTGATAACAAAGGAAATCCTTTCAAACACGAAAGCCAGCAAAACTGGTAAATGCAAGTTTAGGGCCCAAACTACAAACTAAGACGGTTTGACTGTGTTGAACAGAGATAAACCTCATATAGACACATTATTGATAAGGAGAGAATTTCTTGAATGAGTAACTCGGAAGGATACGAAGAACAAGAGGACTTGATGATGCTTCACAGCTCCACACAATCCAATAATGGCCACGACGAAGAGAAACAGTCCAACAGCAATGACAGCAGCCATCACCCTGAAACTAGAGACCAGCCCGAACCATTTGCCCCATGCTGCAACACCAACCATTAGAAGACTGACCATCTGGAAACAAGAAAAGATGGATGGTTTCACTTCAAGGAGTGTAGATGCTCAGAAAAGGCAATTATGTATATCAGCATAAAA